TGCTGAACAATTGGGAGTACTGAAGGCCCAGGTCCAGAAAACTGAGAAGACTCTTATAATATCTATTTTTAGTCTCCTGTTTAAACTTCATGAAAGTCCTCAGTGTCAGGAGATGATACTGTAACAGGTGAAGTTGCACATGGTCTCCAAGGGCAGATGTCCCAAGGGTACAATCTCCCGCGTCTGGGTCGTTCTCCTGCCTTCAGGAAATAATGATGTGGGAAGTAAGGACAGAGGTGATCAAGGTGGCTGAGAGGTTTATGAGAAAGCCTTTTACTACCACAATCTTAGGGCTCTGATGAATTTTATACCTTAACGTAGTTTCCAAAATAAGGAGAATGAGAAGTTGGTAAATGGAGTTTTTCCAACTAATTCAAGAAGAGGTAGAAGAGGAATTAGAGATTACAGATTCCAAATACTCATCGAGCCCTAGAAGCTTCCTACTGCTACGGAGTCAAGGTCTGCTTAGGTAGCTCCTTGTCTGGGGTGTGTCTAGGTCAGGTGTAAGCTAAGTATATATTCTGCTCATTGGCGTATCGGTTATTTTTAGGTAAGGTCATAAGTTCAAAGCATTTTTTTTTTCAAAAAAGGTAAGAGACTCTTCCCATTTCTTAAAGCCAAAGATGGAAAGTAAAAACAAAAATAACCTATCTTGAAAGACAATATTTTTCTTAAAAAGCATGACTTACCACTGACAGGTTTATAGACAATCCTATAGCCCTTTACAGGGGAAGATGGGGGATCCCACGTAATGCGCAATCTGTTATACCATTCTTCTGAAACCTGTAAGTTTTGGGGACCAGAGGGTGGCACTGGGCAGGAAGGAAAATGAAAAAAGGGGGTTTAGTGTGGTTTCCATCTTTACAACCTACCCTGTGGTTAACAAAATCTAAGATATCTTCCCACAGTGCTAAAAATACTTACAAGGGAAATGTACTAAAACACATGGTAAGAAGCCTTTGAGAATCCATGGTTGTGTTAAATAATAAATAACAGAAAATAATTGTTCTTGTGGTAAAACACTTTTTCCTGAAGATCAGCGGTTCATTCAATGAAATTTGGGTTCCTTCTCCTTCAGTTACTTTTAAGTAAAACTGAATTGAGTAGTGTTTATTAAAAAATTTCTGCTGACACACCACTCTGTTTCACTGTCAAAGGATGTTTGTACAGCCGTATCAAGGATGGTTAGATAATAGTAATGATGGTAATTCTCAGAGGTAAGATGCTGATGATTTTTTTTGCTTTCATCTTCACATTACCTATATTTTTTGAAACTTTATATCATCGTCCATCAATTTTTTATCAAAACATTAAAGCCATTTATATGAAGGACCTTTGGAAAATATTGTGAATATTGATGGATATTATCATTATCACTTTGTTGTTGAGGATTTAGTTGTGTTGACCACTGCTTAAAAAATGTGGACCATCCAAACTTATTTCAAAGAACACACTTTGAAATAATTTTACTGTAAAGATACTGTTAAATGTGATAGCATTTCCATAATGAAGTTTAAGTCATATTTCTACGGTAATTGTCTTTAAATAGTTTTTATTTGTGTGAGTGTATCATGGAACTCTCTTACAAATTACGTTATTTAAAAATTTTTTAATTTTTATACAATTTTTAAAGGTTACTTTTCATTTACAGTTATTACAAAATAGTGGCTGCATTCCCCGTGTTCTACAAGACATCCTTAAGCCTATCTTACACCCAATAGTTTGTACCTCCCACACCCTCACCCCTACATGTCCCCCCCTGCACCACTGGTAATCACTAGTTTGTTCTCTATACCCGTGAGACTGCTTCTTTTATGTTATATTCATTACTTTGTTGTATTTTTTAGAACCCACATATACAAATTATGCTAATTTTTAACATGTGAAAGTTAAAAGTAGATCTTCGAGTCCAGGTCATCAGCCATGATGGAGCCCCTTTGCCTTCCCACTGCCTTCCTCCCCTCCCCCCAGCAGTAGTGGATTTAAGGTAATTTTATGGAACTTTAGAGTGTTAAATAACAAAATCCAAAACCAACTCTGAAGAGCAGAATTTACTATGCTACTTTTAAACCACTCTTGCCTGCTTTTTTTTTTTTTTTTTTTAATTTATATTTAAAAGCACATGGTAGATTGCTTTGGGTAGTATAGCCATTTTCACAGTGTTGATTCTTCCAATCCAAGAACATGGTATATCTCTCCATCTGTTTGTATCACCTTTAATTTCTTTCATCAGTGTCTTATACTTTTCTGTATACAGATCTTTTGTCTCCCTGGGTAGGTTTATTCCTAGGTATTTTATTCTTTTTGTTGCAGTGGTAAATGGGAGTGCTTCCTTAACTTCTCTTTCAGATTTTTCATCATTAGTGTATAGGAATGCAAGAGATTTCTGTGCATTACTTTTGTATCCTGCTACTTTACCAAATTCATTGATTAGCTCTAGTAGTTTTCTGGTAGCATTTGTACAGAAACACAAAAGACCCTGAATAGCCAAAGCAATCTTGAGAAAGACAAACGGAGTTGGAAGAATCAGGCTCCCAGACTTCAGACTATACTACAAAGCTACAGTAATCAAGACAATATGGTACTGGCACAAAACATAAATATAGATCAATGGAACAGGAGAGAAAGCCGAGAGATAAACCCACGCACATATGGTCACCTTATCTTTGATAAAGGAGGCAAGAATACACAATGGAGAAAAGACAGCCTCTTCAGTAAGTGGTGCTCAGAAAACTGGACAGCTAAATTAATTTCTAAACAGTGAAATTAGAACACTCCCTAACACCATACACAAAAATAAACTCAAAATGGATTAAAGACCTAAATATAAGGCCAGACACTATAAAACTCTTAGAGGAAAATAGAGGCAGAACACTCTATGACATAAATCACAGCAAGATCCTTTTTGACCCACCTCTGAGAGTAATGGAAATAAAAACAAAAATAAACAAATGGGACCTAATGAAACTTAAAACCTTTTGCATAGCAAAGGAAAACATAAACAAGACAAAAAGACAACCTTCAAAATGGGAGAAAATATTTGCAAATGAAGCAACTGACAAAGGATTAATCTCCAAAATTTACAAGCAGCTCATGCAGCTCAATATCAAAAAAAACAAACAACCCAATCTAAAAATGGGCAGAAGACCTAAATAGACATTTCTCAATGAAGATATACAGATTGCCAACAAACACATGAAAGGATGCTCAACATCACTAATCATTAGAGAAATGCAAACCAAAACTACAATGAGGTATCACCTCACACCAGTAGGAATGGGCCTCATCAAAAAATCTACAAACAGTAAATGCTGGAGAGGGTGTGGAGAAAAGGGAACCCTCTTGCACTGTTGGTGGGAATGTAAATTGATACAGCCACTATGGAGAACAGTATGGAGGTTTCTTAAAAAACTAAAAATAGAACTACCATACGACCCAGCAATCTCACTCTTGGGCATATACCCTGAGAAAACCATAATTCAAAAAGAGTCATGTACCACAATGTTCATTCCAGCTCTATTTACAATAGCCAGGACATGTATCCATCAACAGATGGATGGATAAAGAAGATGTGGCACATATATACAGTGGAATATTACTCAGCCATAAAAAGAAACGAAATTGAATTATTTGTAGTGAAGTGGATAGACCTAGAGTCTGTCATACAGAGTGAAGTAAGTCAGAAAGAGAAAAATAAATACCATATGCTAACCCATATATATGGAATCTAAAAAAAAGAAAAATGGTTCTGAAGAACCTAGGCGCAGGACAGGAATAAAGGCACAGATGTAGAGAAAGGACTTGAGGACATGGGGAGGGGGAAGGGGAAGCTGGGACAAAGTGAGAGAGTAGCAGGGGCATATATACACTACCAAATGTAAAACAGATAGCTAGTGGGAAGCAGCCGCATAGCACAAGGAGATCAGTTCAGTGCTTTGTGACCACCTAGAATGGTGGGACAGGGAGGGTGGGAGGGAGGAAGTTGCAAGAGGGAAGAGATATGGGGACATATGTATATGTAAAACTGATTCACTTTGTTATACAGCAGAAACTAACACACCATTGTAAGGCAATTATACTCCAATAAAGATGTTAAAAAAATAAAAAGCACATGGTAGATGCTTCATAAATGTTAGGTGAATGACTACTTCTTTACTTCTTAAATTGTTGTTTAAGTCTGTGGTTCTCAACCATTTATTTAGCAGCAAAATACCAAAAGATGCTAGAAATGCCAATATGCCAACATATGGGAAAAGTGAAATGAAGAGCTTGGTGCCGTCCCACTGCTCTGCTCTTCCCTTCCCTTCTCTCCTTCCACATGACCCCTAAGGAAATAACCATAGCAGCTCATGTGGCTCCTAATACTCTGACCTGGACGATATTTAGCGAACTGTGCAGGCTTGGTGTGAGCGTGGGTGGAGGCCCTCATAGCACGGGCCCGGGGAGGAGGAGGAGATGCCAATACTGTCGAAGGAGGAGCTGATACCCATTTGCTCAGCTGAGCCGAGTCAGGACTTCGGGTTTTGCAGCTACAGAATTTTAATAACTTTTATACTTAATTGAAAAATCCATACTTAGGTGCCCAGGTAGAGAATTCAGCCCTTGCTACCATTCTGCACCTAATCACACATAACGGCTTAGTAACTGTGGTAGATTGAAGATCAGCACAGGTTTTTTGACCTTCCTCCCATTGAGAGGTAGAAGTTATGCTGCTCTCTTTGAATTGGGTTCTATGACCACCTTGACCAACAGACGACAGCAGAAACGACATTGTACTAGTTCCAAACATAGTCCTTAACTGTCCTGACAGTTTCCACTTTCCACCTCTTGGAACTCTTGCTCTTATAGTCCTGAGTCATCATGTAAAAACCATGACTATCCTGCTGGAAAGACCACATGGAAACGTGCTAAAATCACATGAAGGGGCCCAGCCTCTGGGCATCTCCACCAAGATGCCGGGCATGTGGGTAGAGTTGTTTTGGACCCTCCAGACCAACCCAGCCACCAGGTAACTGTGGTCAACACTACGTGAAACAGAAGGATTTTCCAGCAAGGCTTGCCTAATATCCTGACCCACAAAATCAAGCAATACAATAAAATGGTTGCTGTTTTAAGCCACCAGGTTCTGGGGTCATCTTCACGCAAGCACAATCATAACAGTAATGAAGACAACTTAGACTCTGTGGTGCTTTGACCATGTGTTTTCATGCATGCTTCTCACTTGATCATCATGGCCAAGACATCCACAACACACATGCTGTGCTGCCTTCTCTGTGCCACACAGCACTGTAGGAGCTTTGGTATGCAGAGATGACAGTACAGGTGAGGTCCTGGGCACTCATGCTGCTGCTCTCCAGGGATGGGAGACAGACAGTGAACAAATACATGAGTAAACAAGAAAGTATCAGATAGCAAATAGGGCCATGACATGACCAAAAACAAAAAACAAAACAATAACAAAAACAACCCAGGATGATATCAGAAAGGGTGGGAGCTACTTTGCATGGGTGGTCAGAAAAGCCTGAGCAGGTGACATTGAGCTGAGACCAAAATGACAAGAAAAAGCCAGAAAAGCAAACATCTGGGAAAGGATATTTCCTACGGAAGAAATGGCTAGTGCATAGGTTCTAAGGCAGAAACAAGCTTAAAAAGTCCAGTGAAGAGCAGGAAAGGAGGTATGGCTGAGGGAATTGTCAGGAGAGGAGATCAAAGAGCAGCGTCCAGGTCACCTAGGGCCTTGGAGGGCCTGAGAAGGACGTTAGATTTTACCCAGAGTACAATGGGAAGCTGTTGGGTGGCTTGAAATGAAGGTGTGACGTGAGATCATTTGTATTTTAAAAAGCTTCTCAGCCTGCTGTGAGGAGAATAAAGGATCCAAGAATGGAAGCAGGAAGACTCATTTGAGTGGGAGAGTGTGGCTTGGATTGGGGATGGAGCAGTTAGATGAAGAGAATGTGAATAGGCACGTAGAATGTATTTTAGAGACTCAGCAGGACTTGGGATGAATTAGACGCTGGAGGAGTAAGATGTAGTTGTTTTTTAAGTCTTAGGTTTTAGAGACAAGAAAACGGAAGCCCAGAGCAGTGAAACAACTTGCTCAAAGTCACGTAGCTTGAATGTGTGAAGACAGAATTCAAACGGATTTTCTCTCTCCAAATCATTTTTGCTCTTTTCACCCCACTGCACTGCGGCTACCCCGGTGGGTTGCATTATACAGGACAAGCATTTTCACCTAATTAGTCAGCTAGTGACCACAGGGGGAAAGCTTCACTCACAGGTTTTTCCAGGGGCAGAGACACTGACCCCTTCTCCATCATCGTAAATGGGAGTCACTGTGACTTTGTATTCAGTATCGGAAAGCAGGTTCTTCAGAAGGAGATTGTTCTGGCTTCCAGGCACCATAACCTGAAGAGAAAAGCAAAGGACCATGGTCTTAGTTAAGACTTTCATTCCTTCTGCTCTACTTACGCGGGGGGACTGGAG